GGTGACTGACAATGATGACGGCTGACTCAGTGCTGCCTGGACCAGGGAACCTGGAGAAGGAGAGGAGAGAGGGGAGAAGACGAAGGTCAGCCAGAGCCCCAGCAGCATAGCCCTCCCAGGCCAGGGGGACAGGACCCCTGTGCCCTAAGGCCCTGGCAAGGCACAGCATGTCTGTCCGTGGCACCTGAGCTGTGGGCAAGCACCACGAGGAGGAGAGGGGCCCAAGCCATTGTGCAATGCCACTAGCTCAAGGTCCTCACGATGCTGGGTCTGTGCCATGGACCTTGACTCGCTTTTAAGCCCCTGCCTGCCCAGGGCACAGCCCCTCCATGCAAATCTGATGCACCTCTCATGGCCGAATCCTGCCCGCACCTCTCTCCCCACCTCCATCCTTGCTCCACGCCCAGCCCCAACACCCCACATGCTGAGTGTTTGTCTCTGGGGACATAATAGTGACACCAACCAGCTCTTGGCCCAAAATCCACATGCACTGATACCCCAGTACCATCCCAGGCCGAGCAGCTACAGGGCCAAAGGGCAAAGGACTACAGGGGCACATGCAGATCCCAGGGATGGGGATGGAATGGTGTCAAATCCCAGCACTCTGCACCACACTTCCTGTGTTTATTGATCCCATGGTTGTCCCAGGCCATTAAGGGACCCCCTTGCTTTCCTGCTTTTCTGCCCTGGCTCTTCCCCTGCAGCTTACATCCACCGCTCAAGGCCTTTGCTCTTCCCAGGCATCCGCTCCCCAGAACAATTCGAGTCATCCAGCACAAAGCCCCAGGGTGCAGCGATACCTTTCTGTGAACTGGTCATCACCCCCATGGGTTGGCACTTGGCACAGGCAGCCAGAGCTGAGTCTGTCCCTGGCCACCCCTGCTCCCACTCAGGGCACAGGGATCATGGCTGTCTTTGTCAGCCACAATCCAGACCAAGAGTGGCTGCACCTGCACAAAACTCCCCATCATATACAACCTTCCTGGTCCTTGACTATGCTGCTTCACAGCGCCCAGGGCACAGGGAGCCCAGAAGGCATGGGCTGGGCAGGGCTGTCTCCCTGTGGGCAGCATGGAGGGGACCTGCTGAAGCAGAGCACATGCCCCACCGCAGGAGCTGCCTCACAGGCACATGGAGGCTCAAGAACCATGTCCAAGCAGCAGCAGCGGCAGCAATAGGCAGCACATGAGGGATCCTGGGGCAACAGAGGACTTGTGTGCCTCTTTCCCCATGCTGGGAGTTACCATGACCCTAATCAGTCCTGGTGCCCCAGCCAGAACAGTGAGAGACAGCCTTCTCCTTCTCCTCCTTGGCTTGGACACCAGCAATGGGTAATGTGGCCATGCAGACTAGGATGTTCCCAAGTGCTGTACGGCCCCTCCCAAAATGACACGGATGGGCACAAATCTGAGGCGCTAGGGATGGCCAAGTTGGGACACCTGGAACAGCCACTGTCAGCACAGGGCAGCAAGGGCAAAGCCACGGTGAGGACCCGCCCCACCATCAAACAGGCACAGCAGAGACTCCTAACTGATGCCTGCAATGGCACGAGGGTTTGTATCACTTCCCCATTGCTCTGTGACACTGTGGCAGCATTAGTGCCGCTGCTTTTTTAGTTATTGTCCTTGGCTTGGACCTCAGTGACGGTTAATGTGCTTGTAGGGCTGGATGTGGAACCAGAGAACCACGAATGAATGTCTGAGGGTCTCACATCAACATAGTAGATGACAGTGACAGGGGCATTGCCAGGGACCTTCTGCTGGAACCAGGCATAGCTGCTGCCACCCCCAGAGCAGGTGATCTTGACGGTTTTTCCCAGGTTGGGTGACAACAAGGACAACTGACTCAGACATGCTGCCTGGACTAGGAAACCTGGAGATGGAGCGGAGAGAAGGGACAAGAGTGGGATCAGCCAGTGACCTAGGATCACAATGCTGCTGGGTCAGGGGAAGAACAATGGGACAATTCAGTCTGCTGGCACATAGATGAAACACCGTGTGGCACAGTCAGAGCCGCAGAGAGGTCATCACTTAAATGACAGGGCAGTGGCACAGTCCTTGGGCTCTAAGTGAAAGCAGAGCCAAGAGATTTTATACCACTTCCCCATTGTTCCATGTCCCTGTGGCAAAAAAACCACTGCTGTCCTCTCTAGCACAGTAATAGACAGCCTCATCCTGTCTGTGAATCTCTCTCCAACTCCATCCCTGCTCAATGCTCAGCCCCAACACCCCACATGCAGGGAAGTTGTCCCTGGGAACATAGCAGTGACACCAACCAGCTCTTGGTCCAAAGCCCATATGCACTGACACTCTGATTATGGAGTCTATCTTGCTTCCTGTTACTCATTGTCACT